ATATCACTGGGGACGATATAGTTTATGTGCAGCTCAGTAACTGTATGTTTGACGCAACGCTTGAGTGACTCGTCTAGTAGGCCACGCAGCCGTGTTATCATCTTTGAATGGTTTTAGTTTTCAACTTCACAACCATTAACAATGCACTTTCGTGCGGCGGTTTCGGTTGCTATATTTTGGCTGTTCATTTGGATATACGAGTAGAAGAAAGATAAGAAAGTGCAAAGTGGGGTCGGAGAGAAAATGGAGGATGGCAGTGGCAAATAAAGCGATTTTCTATTAGTTGTAGACACCAACGATCGCCAAGGCCTCTATTACTTTTTTGTCTGTCACTAAATGACCAGGTTGGCGAAGAGTGTTATCTGCCAACACATATCGGAGACACGGTACTCAGTTAATCTTACTCAAGCTCCCGCATAGCCCATCACCTCTCTGCCACAACGAATTCTTTTATCATTCTGTGCTCAACCGAGGCGATCACTATCCAAACATAGGGCATAGGGCTTTAGCTTTGCCATGGGCTTGGATAAATACACCCCCTCCGGCGGCGGGGGGGGGAGGGGGAGGGCATCAATGATCTAACCAAGATGAGGATCAGGAAAACAAACAGCGCATTCTGTACGTAGCTCGATGCGATACAAACCAGACAGAACAGCACAAGTAACCCTAATATAATTGTAATGGCCAGTTCACGAATTTATCGAAAAATAGCTTGTTTCACCTACCGAACTTTGTTTACAATTCCATTTTCGTAAAAATGCTATTTTGTCTTTCTGATTGTTTACGACCATGTATATCATCGACTTAGATCTTAAACAGTCCTTTTGGTAATTAACTTATCCCACGGGTATCGCTCTTGTTTTTTTCTTCAGATATGGATTCAACAGCGCGGGACATGATGCTGTCTATGAGAAACTAAAAAACCGACCATGGGAAGGTATGCCACCGTGAGATTTTTTTTTCAAACTTTATTAGGTCGTAATCAATAATTTATATGCTTTCGCACCGGGCTTATCTGTTTTGACAGGAATGGACCCATTACCGAGTTGATGCATCGTGAATTCGGACATTTATTCATGTCAAGACCGAGTACTGCTGAGAGATCCGACTTTTAAGCAAGAGAAAAATTAGGGTTGCTTGGGGAAACTGATAGCGAGTTAGTGAGACTAAGTGAATTGGTAAAATCCCCCGGCTTTATGCACTCAAAGGGTTCATTTTCAGCAATTTACGAACTTGTGCAGTGGACATATAAATTAAATTGCGATCAACAAAAAATAATGGAAAATAAATTCTATACTATAGTAAATGAGGAAAGAAATTAATGCAAGAGTCTTTCCCTGAGGTGGGTGACTATTACTTTATGATTCACCAGTATCCGAGCAACATACAACCTTACGCTGTTTCTATATGTGGAAGCACGCACAGGACGGATTGAATACACTACAGGGCTTTCACGATGCA